TTAGAGGTATTAGTATTACCAATCTGTACTGAAATCATTGTAGAAAAAGCAGGTAACAGGTGTCTGTAAAATAGTAGTAGTAACAAGTAGTTATTACTGAGAGCAATCATTGCAAGTCATATTCCCTTAGTGGAAAGCTACATCTGAAACCTTTAATATGAAGCCAGTTAGCAAGGCACACCTGTCTTCCTTTTCTCAATAGGATACCTAGTAGCTCAAGAAAAAGCAAGGCTTTATTTTTACGTATGAAATGAGCTAACAAGGTGGCTGCAGTATTGGGGAAGAATCTGGTTGCCTGCTGCTGCTAACTTGACAAAGCTATAGTTAGCCTATCTGTCAATACCATCCGAGATCTGAGAAGGATAAATTAGGGCAGGAAGTATAATCCAGATGGCCTGTGTATCACTTAAAATGACAGAGACTAGTCCACTATCCATGATGGTCATCCTATGGTGACCCCTCTGGTGACCCCTATGATAGGCCCCTGTGGTTTCTATGGCACCGGGAGCAAAGGTACCAGGACAACATCGGTCTTTGACCTTCAGACCCAGAAGCTGAGAGGCTTTCCTGTGGAGAAGGAACATGAAGGGGGTGACCAATCTTACTTTGTCTAGGCAAATCAGGGCAATCAATATCCCAATATCCCCGTTGTCCACAGTTTGAACCAGATCCTGGTGGCAGGTGCAGCATGAGGGCAGTCTTTCCCAGTGGTTAGCACACTACAATCCAGGTGGAGTCGTTGTGGTATCCAGTCATCTTTTTGGAGACCTTGGGGTCACTGCCAGGAGCTGGGGTTCTCAGTCACACTAATTTTTTTCCATTAAATATTTAAAATACTAGGCTGGAGAGATGGTTGAGAGGTTAAGAGCATTGACCGCTCTTCCAGAGCTCCTGAGTTCAACTCCCAGCAACCACACGGTGGCTCACAACCATCTATAATAAGATATAAAATTTGGTGCCATCTTCTGTTGTGCAGGCATACATGCAGGCAGAACACCGTATATACAATAAATCTTAGAAACGTTTAAAATACCATATTCAGGAGATTTCTGAAAATTTGAGGAACATTATCCATTAAGTATTTCTGAGCTAAACAAACCTAGGCTGAACATTGAAAACACATATAGGAGGCTAAATAAAGTTTTTTCCTATAATTAACTACATTAGTGTTTTAGGATATTTGATCACACTGTGAACCCTGACATTGCATTATTTACTGGACAAACCTGGTTCTAGTTATAGTGGGACTCAGCCCTAGTACACACCTTTAATCCAAGAGCTTTCTGTTTGAATATTATAAACAGGGGTAAGTAAAGTCAACCACAGATAAAGAAGCAGAACAAACAACCAGTTGACAGGAAGTGGACAGAGAATTATTAAGTAAAACACATAGTAAGAGGGTTAAGAGGATGGATAGAGAGACACACAGGAAGTAGAAGGGAGTGATATTCCGTTTGAGAGGTTTGCTGTTCTCAAGTGGGAGTGCAAGGCATGGGACTTTGTGCAAACTTATCCATTTGCCTAAAATACCCATCTCCTCCCTTGTCCAAGTGGGTGACTTTTCCTCATTTGAACTGAAGGACTTTCTTTGTCCTGAAGAAGCCACATCCCGGCGCATGTGGGATCACAGCTCCTCATCAAATGCACATGACAGCATTGCCGCAGCTGCCGTGTGTCACTACTCTGTTTGGGGACAGTGTCGCTGAACAATAAGGGCTCTGGCACTGGTGAGTTCAAAGCCCAAATAAGCAGAGATGGAGCTGGAGAGAGGAGAAGACTTTATGATCCATCACAGGTAAGGCGAGCATGAGCATCATTCCAGAGGCAGTGTCTTCTTGACTACAGAAAGCACAGGATTTTGTCCAGTGGTAGAAGGGAGAGTCTGATCTTGAGCACACACAGTGAAGAAGAGCAGTTCCATCCTGAGTGTGCTCAGCTTGAGATCATGGGAAGAATGCTACAGAGATTTAAGTTATGGGGCAACTGTTGAGATGACTCAGAAGGTAAAAGCGTCAACTCTGTAGCAGGGCGATCTGATCTAGGCCCCAGATCCAAATGATGGAAGAGGAGAACTGGCACCTCACAAGCACCTACACAGTGTCTACACAGTGTCTACACAAATATAAGTAAATGTATTTTTAAAATAGATTTAAGTTATGGACAGAAAATGCTGTGAGCATGTTCAGTTTGTACTGTTAATACTGGAGCTGGAAACATTGGAAGGGATTTTTTTGTTGTTGTTTAAAAGTTTCTTTTCATTTTATATACCAACCACAATTTCCACTCCCTCCCTCCTTTTGTTTCCTGCCTCAACTTTTCCCAACCCAACTCCCCCCTCCACTCCTCCATGGGGAGTCAACAAAGTCTGGCACATCAAATTGAAGCAGGACCAAGCCCCTCCCCCTTGTATGGATGCTTAGTATGATATCCCGCCATAGGGACTGGGCTCCAAAAAGCCAGTTCATTCACCAGGGACGGATCCTGGACCCACTGCCAGTGGCCCCACAGACTGCCCAAGCCACACAACTGTCACCCACACTCAGATGTCCTAGTGTGCAGGTTCCCCAGCTGTCAGTCCAGAGTCAGTGAGCTCCCACTAGCTCTGGTCAGCCATCTTTGTGGGTTTCCCCATCATGATCTTGACCCCTGGAAGGGATATTTTTAAGGGTATTAATAGAGGATTTTGCCTCAGAAGGTGTCTGCCTTGCTTGGAGGCTGAATCCACCACAGTGGACACTGGGGCTCTTGTTGGCACCTCTGAAGCACGGGGCCGCAGGAAGCAGTTTGAGCTTGTGCAGCCACTTCTACTGAACTTGCTGGAAGGAAAAGTGCATGCAGTTACAACACGCCAGGAAGCATAGAATGAAAATGAATGTGGCCTGACACCTTGTGCCCCTGTAGCCTTCAAATCGGGTCTCCTTACTCTTTGGCAGTTGTTGTGGTAGCCCTGGGAAGTCCTTTGGCAATGATGTCTGTTCACCATTACCCCCCCCTCCAGCTCTGTTCTTTGGGTAAAGTTTGCCCCTGCTTAATTGTGGCCCCTGTACCAGCCCTGGGGTCAAATTCCACTGCCACAGACTGACAGCTTCCTTAACCCTCAGCCTCTATGACAGAACAAGGCTCTGCTGAAGTGTGATAGTGCGTGCTTGTTTAGAACCGTGTGTGGCTATCTTTCTATGGTTGGGACCTCCATGCTCATAGAGCACGGGTGGCACCTAAGGGCACTAGGCAGTAGGCGGAGCGTCCGGGATGCTTCTGCTTTCATTGCAGGCATTCATCCTTGTAGTAGACAGGAAGCTAGCTCCTTGAGTAATTGACAAACAGTTCTCAAAATAGGGCATGAAGAACAGGACCTCGGCCTGTTCATGGGCCTGAAACAGACTGGAAAGATAACGCTGGAGATTAACTAATGATCAGATATTAACAAGGTGATAGTTCATTCCACCCTGAAACTGGGATGCAAATACTGATGAGTATCTTGAATATCACCATAGAACCTTCGTCTGGCGATGGATGGAGAGAGAGACAGAGACCAGCATCAGAGCACTGGACTGAGTTCCCAAGGTCCAGTTGAAGAGCAGAAGGAGGGAGAAGATGAGTAAGGAAGTCAGGACTGCGAGGGGTTTGTCCACCCATGAAGGTGGTGGGGTTGATCTAATAGGAGCTCATCAAGGCCAGCTGGACTGGGACTGAATGAGTATGTGGTCAACTGGACTTTCTGCATGTGGCTGACAATGGGGGCTGACTGAGAAGCCAATGATAATGGCACTGGGATTTGATTCTACTGCATGTACTGATTTTTGGGATCCTAGTCTGTTTGGATGCACACCTTCCTAGGCCTGGAGGTGGGAGGGCCTTGGACATCCCACAGGGCAGGGTACCCTGCCCTCTTTTAGGACTGGGGGAGGGAGGGAGCGGGAGGAAAATGGGAGGAGGGGAGGAGGTGGAAATTTTGAATGGTATTATTTATAAAGCCAAAAAAAAAAAAAAAAAGATCGGTGGTCAAGTGTTGCCTGGATCACAGTAAGATCGGGGGAAAGACGCGCCCGGGAGAGGAAGTAACCGACACAAGTTCCGCATGTGGGCGGGCTTATCTAACAGTGGCGGAAGCGAGCCGACGGCTTTGGGGCTCGGCGAGCAGGATGGCGCCACAAATTGGCCCTCATGAGCTGCTGCACGTCTTCTCCTTCCTGGAGGCCCCCGACCTGCTGCGCGCGGCGCAGGTGAACAAGGTGAGGTCCGGCGGAGTCACCCCACCGCCCGGCTCCGCAGGCCCGCTCCGCAGGCCCGGTTCCGCAGGCCCGAGGCCGCCGGAGCATCCCCTCCAGGGATTGGCTTTGCCGTGGCTCCCTTGTCTGGCGCTTACCCTTTGCCTTCTTGACCGCGTCCCAGCCCTGCTTGTCATCTGCCCCGCCCTCCATGCCTGGCTGTGTGCTTCCTCTTATGGACTCAGTACAAAGGCGACGAAATCACTATTAATGTAAGGTACTTGTTTTTCCCTGCCAGATTCATTACTGAACTGTGACAGAAAAGATACTAAAATCTCTCTTCAATGTCTATCCCATGTACTCAATGCATACCTTGAAATTTTAGCCTCTTCAGTTAAGTAAATCAGTGTTCATAAGGTTAGATGCATCCTTGCTTGAACAGAGCACTTGGATTTTCAGTTTTCAAACCTGTTCAGTTTTAAAACCTTTACCCACAGAAAGTTACCAATTCTGTTCATCCCAATCGTCAAAGGACCCAGAGTTGACATCTGGCAGTGAAGCTGAAGACCCCAGACCTCACTGTGCAGATAGGCATTGCCTAGTTTTGTTTTCTCCTTTGTAGTTCTGGGGGATGCACCTAGGGCCTTGAGCTGGCCATGCGCTTCACCAGCAGAGGGAGGGGCCTGCCTGTCACTGTTAGCTTTTACAGCTGCTGTAGTTTGACAGTATCTCTGGCCACTTCTCTTTGCTACACTGTGATACGTCTGAGGGCCTGCATCTTTTTGCTCTGGATTTGTTGCCAAGATTTTGTGAGCCTGAGAACTTCCCTCACATTGCCACAGTGTATAAGTCTTGTCTTCTACACTTTGTCCCTGCCGCACCCTAGAGAGAAAATAGAGGCCATTGACTGTCTGCCTACAGCATCTGTTTAACATCTTGGTTTATCAATTGTGACAGCTAAAGTTATGTTTTAAGTTAAAATTACTGCTTGGGAGATCTATAAAACAAAAATGCCTCTAGCCTGTGAGCCCCACTTGCCCACGGACAGATAACTTCCTGGGATGCTGGGGGTTGTTGTTCCTGTAAGATAACAAGCCACCCTGGCTTCACTTCAGTAAACAAGGCCAGTTGTCCCAACTGCACAGAATGTGCTTAACCATAGGTACATAAGCAGGAAGTAGTCAGGATGTATGCGTGCTCCTATTTAGACAAAGGCAGAAGTATGTCGCCTTGTGGATTTTGCCTTTTTAAACCCCCATCTAATGTAATCTGGTGCCATTCACTGGAAATTCCAGATATGGGTCTGGCCAGTGTCCATCATTCTGGCCAGTATTTGATTTGGCTCAAAAAATTGTGGTGGTGATCTTATTCTCACCCACTGGGATTAATGTAATACATAATGAAGGAATATATGATCTCTTTCTCTGAAAATGGGTTAGTTAATTTAGCACATTACATATGAGGCCACTTTCACCTTTTTTTAAAGGTATTTTTTAAAGTCTCATCTCCCATTTTTATCCCATGCCTCATCTTACCCTTCAGTCTGAGGTGCCACTGAAAACAACGGGCGCAGGGTGCACCCTAGGGCCACAGCCACCTAAGGACCTGGCAGTGTCTGTGAAACACCGGGGTAAATTTGGTTTCCTATATGAAACTGATGTGGCCCAAAGCTACATTTAAAACTAAAACACAAGCAAAGGTGCCCATTTGCCAGCACAAGGTCTCCGGTGGGGAAGGAAGACAGGGGGTCCTCACCTCTCCCAGGGAGGTCTCAGACAGAGAACACCTCACAGTTCCAAGTCTCTGAGGATAACTTTAAGTAGATGTGGGAAACGACTGAGTTCCATCTCATGTATGCTCATCAGGAAACTGAGTGTCCCACAGTGACTTCCCTGAGGTGATGATGGAGTCTTGTGCAGAGCTAAGGTGAGTCCCCCGCAGTTTTTGCATAGTAGGCCAAGTTTGAAAGAAAAGTTCCTTCTGCCCTTTGGTATCGCCAACTTTTCCTGGTTCTGATCTACCCATAAGTTAAAGGGGGTCGGAAATCTCTATGAGTCTAACAGAAAGATCCTTAAAGATGGTTAGCATTTGTTCTGTAGAGCACGGTGCACATTACAGTCTCTGTTTGAGAACGGAGAACCACCTAGCTAGCTTTGAATGGGAAGATACGTAGATCTTGCTTGGTTTGATTTTGCAAAATTACAACATCATTACTGAACAAAAAGATGCTTTTCTTTCTTTCTTTCTTTCTTTCTTTCTTTCTTTCTTTCTTGTTTTTTTGAGTTGGAGTCTCACAGTTCAGGCTGGCCTTGAACTATCTGTGCAGCGAGGATGACCTTAAACTTATCATCCTGCCTCCACCTCCCAAGTGCTGTGATTACAGTCCTGAACAGCACACTCAGGCATCCTAAGCATCTTGCAGATAGCTCTGCAGAAAGAAGTGAGAACAGGGCTTGCATAGTACCTGCCCTGGAAGACTGTTCCCATCGGACCATCTTGGCAACTCGAAGGCATCCCCATTGCTGCAGCTCCATATAAGAAACCTGAAATCCTTCCCCGTCCTCACAGCAAGCAGAGATCTTGCTTACAACACAGCTTGACTTGCTCCTCCCCCAGTCAAAATGCTCAAGTAGCTTCTCAGTATTTCTGCCTGGAGACTGTTGGGAGTTGGTAAAAGCCACCCAGCCAGCAATTTTTCCCAGTTCGTCTGCAATCAAACCTCATGCTCTAACTGAGCAACTTAGGAAACTATCCTTTCATGTTTGTGAATCATTTGCATATCCAGTGTGTTTCCTTACGTTGCTTTAGAACAACAGCCACTCTCTGATTAGTCGTTGTCTCGCTGAGCCCCTGGGCTCTGACTCATCAACCCCACTGAGTCTCATTTTCATCATTTGGTGGTTTTTAATTGTCTGTTGCTTTTAATGCATCAGGTTGAGCTGTGTTGAATGTGGAAACTGGGTTGGTTTTGATTTTTGTCCCCTCCATTGGGTTTGGCAAGCCAGGTGCTTACTAGTTATTGACTGACCAGATGCTGTCTCTTCCTGTCCTTATCCTAGGTCTGGAATGAGATTTCAGTGACCCAGGAACTGTGGAGGTGAGTGAAGGAAGAGCCAGGGGTGGTCCTGCAAAGGAGAGACGCTCACTGGACGTGGTTTCCGAGTGCTGCCATCACTTCTGCCTGTGTTGAGGACAGAGAAAGGATTATACCCCTGGTCCTTAGCCATGAGCAATCCTCTATGGTTAATAGTGTAAGACTGTGTATTGGCAGGACTCCCAAATTCAATCAGCTGGATTCATTTTCTGCAGTTTCTGTCAGTAGAATCAAAGCACTTAAAGCAAACAAATGAATAAATCCATTTCATAGCCAGGATGGCCTTATACTTACTTTGTAGCCTAGGTTAGTTTTGAGCTTGTAATCTTCCTGCATAACCTTCCTGAGTACTGGAATGCAAGCCTGTGCCACTGTACCCAACTCAGATCACTTGTCACGGAACAGCAGAAGAATCTAAGATTGTATAAATCAGAAATAGTTAAAACATTACATTTGCTTCTTTAGAACCTGTTATCTTTTATACTAAGATAAAACTAATGGGGAGAGGAGAATGGCACAACGCAGGCCTGGACCTTTTCTGCCTCTGGCTGAACGTGGGGCCCACAGCCTTGGCAGTCAGGTCGGAGTTAGAGTTTCCACCCTTAATGGAGAACAGCTGCTCAGATGTGAAGCTTCCTCGGGACGGGGAGGGAGGCTTTGCTCTTATGTAGGATAACTAACACCTGGAATTCTTGGCCATCTCAAGGCTGTCTTAGCTTCTTCCATCTTCAGCATCTTAGAACACTTCTTTTTGTTGCTTTTTCTTAACTTTTATAACTCATATTGATTAGCAAAACAAGCTCAGGCAGTTCTGAGGTGGACTTTCGTTGGAATCCATTCTTCTGTCTATTCTTTGAAGAGCTGACTTTTAAGCAGGTGTAGTTCATTTAGGGAAAGGCAGGACTTGCCAAGTATGTGACTCCGAGAAATTGTCCGAATGGATGAACTGACTGGTGCAGCTGCTGATGTATCAAAATCCAAGTTAGAATCTTTAAGGAAAGCACTAAAAAGTAACCAAAACTATGGTGCAAGAAGTGACAGAGAAATTGAAACAGTCCATTTGACCATACTTAACACAAAATATGATAGTAATGAAATAGAGGGCGGAAGGCGTACAACAAGGAAGCATTAAAACAGCAAAGATATAATATACAGCCTAATGAAAAGGCAGAGCGACAGAGTTGACGAAGAAAAATAGTCCAACGTCATGCTGTATGCATGAGATACACTTAGCTTTCTTTGTTTCTGTTACACGATTTGGAGATCATATCCAGTAAGTACCAGTGTGCATGCTTGGCAAGCACTCTACAGCTGAGCTATGTCCCCCTCTCTGAGACACACTTTGAATCAAAAGACAGACATGTTGACAGTAAGACCGTGGGAGAAGATATACATGCAAGCAGTAATTGACATCAGCCAGAGTCGGCTGAGATCAGACATCAAGATTTATGTTATTAATGATTAATAGAGGAGCCTAAGGAGAAGATACGGCCCTGTGTGTGTCTCCGGACACAAACAACAAAACACACAGACTGACAGAACTGAAGGGGAGACAGACAGTTCAACATTTAGATAGTTAAAAACATGGGCTCCTGAATCCCCGTTGTTTAGCCTCTGTGCCCCCAGGTGTAGAGTAGTGGTGAGCACCTTCTCCAGCGGGCCGCCGTGAAGGGCAGTTTGTCATATAAAAAGTCCAGCACGGTTGGCCTGCCAGACTCATTTTCTATTAGCTCTGCCCCTGCCTGACAGAGGAGAGAGTTGAGGACTCCTTAGGGACAGTGAGTTATCCAGAGTTTCAAGCCCAGACAGAGGTAAGACCAGAATTCAAAGCTACATCTCCTGGCGTCGGGAACCAGACTGCTGTGCCCTGCCTAAGCTTGCTTCTGTTTCAGGCAGCTGTGTCTGAGACGCTGGGCCTCCTGCAAAGCCTTCCCAGTAGTTCTGGGCACACAGACATGGAGGCAGTACTACTTATGCCGGTCTGAGCTGGAGTTCCGTGTAGCATCTGGGCGGTCACAGGACTTCACCTGCAAAGCTATTTCTGGGCACACAGGTATGAGCTGGTGTATAGTAGCTATGTCCACTCCCACTGCCCACCCTCTTTCCGGTCAAATCTCCGGGGTCTTGGTGTCTCAGCTAGTGGATTGGCAAGTGCTGCTTGATAAAATGTGGGTCTTGCTGGGCACTGTGTCATCTGTGCTCTGTCATGGGAGGAAGGAATGAGCTGTTATTTCCTTTTCAGAGCAGACTGGAAATCTCAAATAGAATAAGCCAGACCTCTAGTTATAACTGGGTTCTGCTCCCTGGAATTCTCACCCATCAGCTTGCATGGGTCCGAGCTACTCCCTGTCTCTTTCGTGTACCCTAAGCAAGCACTCATTGTGTACCAGATCTGAGTCTGTCTATGCGTGTGCTCTCTTCCAGGAAAGATAGACCAGCTGGCCTACATCTCACCTCATGAGTACCGCTTTGATGAGAGGGCGAGGTCCGTGGTTTGCACTGTGTCTTCAGACTGTACTGTGCGTGCCTGGGATCTGCGTGAGGTGAACTGCTCCCTGGGGAGGGAAGGATCCCTACTGGGTTTGATTACCTTAATGCAGAGTAGGAGCCCAGTTTTGCAGATGAGAAATCTGAGCTCTGCCATCAGCTGTCACCAGTAGGGACATGCTGATAATAAGTAGGGGAGGGGGGCTTTTGAAACTTGAGAGTAACCTATCTCGTGTGACACATGCTTGGCTTCCTCTTGGAACCAGACTTTGCCTGTGGTGTGGGAGCTGTTTTGTCGCTCCTCACATTTCCTGCAAGCCACTCAGTCAGGGGCCTCAATGCTGGAGCTCATGCTGCACCCCCAGACGGTTCCGCAAGCTTTTTGTCATCCCGTGTGTGTGCACACCAAACTGGACAGATTGCCTAGAATTTTAAACTTTGCTAGTGCCTATGCAGATGTAAAAAGTGAAGACTTTTAGAGTTTTGGTTTGGTTTGGTTTTTTGAGACAGGATCTCACTCTGTAGCCCAGGCTAGCCTAGAACTTTCAGGCTACTCCTGCTCATGCATGTGCACACACAGACACACATACGCACATACTAATGACCAAGTTAAGTAATTTTAAAAGAAGTTGAGGGTTGGGCTCTCCTTAGTTTGGGTTTTTCAAAAGAAAACAGAGTGCGTTTGCTGCACGGGCCAGCAGTGTTTTCTTTAAACAACTAGATGGTAAACTGCTCCTCTAGGCAGAATCTCTGTCATAAATTCTTAACTCTGCAGCTGTGACACAAAAGGAGCCATGGACAACGCGTAAACAAGTGAGAGCAGCACACTCCAGCAATGCGTGGTCTCCTTAGGTGCTCTGCTTTTAACCCACATACAAGATGCTCAGTGGCCTGTGTGGCTGCAGGCAGGTCATGGTGTACCAGACCTTGAATTAGCATTCCATTGTTTGCAGTATGGGACACCTCAGACGGCCAGCAGCCCTTCCCGCATTTGGCCTGGCTTCCCAACCTTTGTAACATTCACGAGCAGCTATAGTTTGTTCCTTAAAGATTCAGTTGTTAATGCTGGTGCTGTGTTGCATTGAAACTTGCTTTTCCAGTAGCACAGTATTTGCATGTGCTCTCTGGAGGCTCTCTGAAGGTATGATCCACAGCCGGCTTCTTTGTGTGTTTTTGTGCCTTAAAAGCTCCTGAAACAAAAATGGCAGGCTGGAACTTTGGCTCAGTGGGACAGCATTTGCCTGGTCATATATGTGGGTTGGGGTTCAATTCCTAGTCTTAGAGTAGAGGTTAAAGCCACTTTACTTTAAATAAACAACAGAAACCTAGTTATTTAAATTACAAACAATTTCTATCCCTTTCTCGAATTCTTCAAGTTAACAGTGTTAACGATTTGGCCTTTCTCCTGCCTTTTTCTTTGGCTTTTGATACCAGGCTGGATTTTATCCTGCAGCTTGCAGGCCTGAGATACCGGGCCTTTTTTTTTTTCCGCTTGTTTTTATAATGTGTATCCATCCACATTCAGATACAGGTTTGCTCTGTGTCTGTGAGGTCATGGAGGTCAGAAGAGGGTGCCAGATCCTTGAGAGCAGCCCAGGACCCCAGTTCATCAAATGGTACCAGCTCAGTTAACCTAATCTAGAAAACCCCTCACACACCACGGAAGCTTGTTTCCTAGGTGATCCTAGAGCCATTCCCAGGCCCATCGCAGCCT